TAGGTAGTCAATTTCTATAAATTTGTCCATTTCTTCTAGGTTTTAATATCCATTGGAGTTGTTATTCATGTTATTCTCTTACTATCCTCTTCAATTTTTTTTGGTTCTGTTATGGCATTGTTCATTTGTGTGTGTGCACATGTGTGTTATTTATATCTTCTCTTTATTTTATTTTGTCAAATTTACCCATAGGTTTTTATTTTTATTACTCCTTTCAAAGAACCAATGTCTGGTCTTGTTCATTCTATTGTGTTTCTATTTTAAGTTTCATATACTTCTGCTCCAAAACTTACAAATGCACCGTCTCTGAGTGCATTATAGGAGTATGTATATGTAGGTAATTATTATGGTTACATCTTTTTGTTGGATTAGCCCCTTAATTATTATTATAGTTACATATTTGGGGTGGGGGGGACAGCCCATTAGTTATTTTGCAATATTCTTCCTGATCTCTTTTACTAGTATTTGCCTTAAAGTCTATTTCATCAGAAATTAATATTGCTACTCATGATTTCTTTTCTATTTTTTATTGCTTGCATCCCATTCACCTTTGACATGTCCATGTGCTGGGCTTTCAGCAGAGTAGTTGCAGAGCTGTGCACAGTAGAGAGGCTCTTTGTGGCCTTTATCACCAGTTGTGCATTTGGCTAATGAGCTTTATAGATAAAAAGCTCATCCTTTCCTTGAGGGTCAAGTCCAGCATCCTTGGGGCCAGTGGTACCCTGTTCTGGCCCACTCTCTTCCTGCCCTAGAAGATTGCAGGCCTACACAAGGAACTTTTATATGCAAAAATGAGCTGATATGTACAAGACATCAAGCTCTCCCTTGTTTGCAGCCTTGGCTTCGGCTCACAGGATTGCCCTGCTGGCGCCCTTCCAACGGCCTTTGTATTCCACAAAGCCTTCCAAGCCTGGTTTGAAGCACCCTTACTGCAGGCGCAAGTGTCTAGTTCTCTCCAAACACTACACTTGTTATAACTAGAACCAAAAATTACTCCCCCAAAGTTGCCATGGAGTCGAACCCTAACTCATGGTGCCCCCCTGTGTGTCAGAGTAGAATTCTGCCCCGTAGGGTTTTCAGTGGCTGAGTGTTTGGAACTACGTTGCCTGGCACAGCTTCCAAAGCATCCCTGAGTGAACTTTTCAGTTAACAGCTGAGTGTGCTAGTTATTTGCACCACTTACACTGTGTTTACCCAGTGCACCTGTGTGCATTGCTGGTGCAGACAGCTTCTCTCCAACTATGACTTGTGTTGGTACAGAAATAATCCTTAAGGAAACCTTGTAGAGTACATCAGAGAGATCCTATAGGACAGAGTAAAACTGCCCAAGTGGGGTTCTGAGACTGTAACTCTTTTAAAAATAGTCTTATTGATATCTGTTTCACATATCATACAATTTAATAATTCAATCATATTAAGAAGACTTGAACAAATATCACCACAATCAATTTCAGAACATTTTCTTCTTGT